CACAGCAGGATACACAGAGTAATAAATGCAAGCCCTGGCACAGAAGCAGTGTCCAGTGTCCTCAAATTTTTGCCTGGGAAGATGACTTTAAATGAAGTTTTACCTACCAGGGAGTTAGATGTTGACTCTGTGCTCTCAAGATGTGGCTATCTTGGAGTCCTGCACTGGAATTCTGCACTAAAATATAACAAAAAAGAAAAAAAATATGTTTGGCAAATAAGGTGGCACTACAATGACTACTAAAATCAATTTCCAGGGAATTAATTAGTATATGGTAAACTTTGTTCAGTGGAGGTTGTGAACCTTTGTGGTAGTTTGGTCTAGGCATTCCTTGGTGACCAGTTTGTAACCAAGGAAGGGTCCAGATTTACCCAGTATTCCCTACGATTTTTATGTAAGCCAGACTATAAGAAGAAAGGAGGAAAGGCCTTAGCTCTCTTTCCTTCCAGCGGCTTGGAGGTGCAGGTTCCCTGCTGTTGAGTCTGTTGTGTTGGGGAGCGAGGCCTGGTGAGGCCTTTTCGACCTTGGGAGGCGGAGGTTGCCGGTGATCATTCCAGAGCAACTCTCAGTTGTCCCAAGGAGAGTAGTGAGATATTTCTTTGCTAACTCTTTTAGTTGCTAGATCTTGGGCTACTGATTGGGATATGTATATATATATATTTTATTTTGGTTTTGTTCCTTTTTTCCCTTCCCCCTTCCCTTTCCCTTTTCCTTGTAAAATTGTATATATATTTCAATTGTATATAACTGTAACATAAGTGTAAATATATTTATATATATTGCTTCAGCTGTCTCTCTCTCTCATTTTGGTTTTCTTGGTTGTTTTTTCTCCCTCTTCTCCCTGAGGTTTTGGGGGGGAGGGACGACTTCTTGTGGTAAGGTTTGGAGACTTGGCAGGGAGCCAGCTTCAAACCATATCAACCTTTGAAAACACTCACCTTCCAGAAATCTGGAAGTTTAAAGAGTCTTAGTAAAGCAGAGTCAGACCTACTGCATGCTTTTCGAGTGAGAATAACATTGACTGAGACACTGGTAAAACCATTTGCAAGCTGAAGCCAGTAAATAAAAACTTAATATTGAAAAGAGCACCCGAAAAATTTAAAAAAAAAGAATATCCAGATACACCATGAACATGTGTCATGCAGAAACATAAAAACTAACCATACATAGTTATCTTTCACTTCCATACCAGAAAAGCTGACGCATTTTCCTCTTCTTTTATTTTTGTGACTATTATAATTCTAAACACCTCAACAAGATAAATGCAAACTTTTCTTTGGATCTTATATTTTGTTAGGATTTAGGTTTTTATTTCACTTATGCTTTAAATAGATCATCTGTCCTGATGAATTTATGCAGCTGTCATTCTCTTTCTAGATAGGAGGGAATCCAGCATGCTACATTGTAAAAGAATGAGAGACATGCAACACAGTTATTCTTCCTAAGTTGTATGGAAAAGAGAAGCTTTTATTTCTGGAAAACACTGAGATATGTGTTAAGCTGAAGTCCGCTACTACTGACATTGTTGGAATACTATACAAGAATATGACTGTACAGATCAATTGTTACAATAAAGAGACAACAAGCCATATCTAAGATTATAATGAAGAAAATGTGGTATTGTAATTTTTTTTCAAAATATGTTTATGTTGTAAAACATAGATTTATTTATTTTTTGAATAATGCTGTTAATCAGTTCTGTTTGTAGATATTTTAACGAGCAATTCTAAGATACATCAAGTCAATTAGATGTGACCAAACCACCATTCTGTTTGAAACAATGTCCATCTTCTCACCTAGACAAGTTTTGGACTGCCAAAACATAGGTCCTATATGACTAGAATTGAGCTCCTGTAACAAACTGCTATGCACAATCTATGCATTATTTACATTATACCTGAACTTAAATAAGAACTTCAGCCCTCACATCTTTTCATGTACTCATGTACCATCAGTGGCACATGGTATTTATCAGAACGCATCCCTACTGCTAAACAGGTTTGCGAGGTGGAGAAGAATGTATTGCACTGCCTTTTATTCCAAGCAAATAAAAAAAAATTTACCTTGTCATGATTTAGATACTTAAAAAAAATCAGGCATCAATAAACGCTGTGTCTTTACAGGAAAAGAAACTGTTTGAGTCCAGACAGATACATCACTGGCTTAAACTATTTATAAATACTCTTTACAAATACTCTTTACAAATATTCTTTTGAGTAGATGAGAAAATAGCTACTCTTCTATCTTAATTTTTGTTCCACACACTGGTTTAAAAACTGTTTTGTGCTGCCTCCAATGGGTACTGTCTCAACACAAATTTCTAAGATGAGCCATTGACTACTCAATTTCATTTAATACCAGCTTCTCTGTTTCCAGCTGAAGGTCAGTCACCTCTATTGAGTTTCCCAATGTACTTTTAACTGAGCATGTAAAAATATTGTCAACTGCCTTGATGACATAAAGCTTCATAGGCCTGGGCATCAGTATTTCATTTACAGAAGAGCTCAAGTGTGAGAAGTCAAGTTCGAGCCACAGCCCGCGGACAGATCTCCATTTGTCCTGACACAGTAGATGTCCTGCTGCCTGGGATCAGGATGAGTTAACCTGGGGGATGAGAAGTAATATCCATTGTGAACCATGACTGGATGATAGTGCATCTCCTGCTGGTGGCATGTCACAGAGCCAATCTAGATTGGAGAACCTTCTATAGAGTAGGCACCAATGTCAGTTCTTCAGTACAGCTGCTGCCACTGGGACATGTCAAAACTTTTTGCTCTTTGCAAGACAGCAAAGTTGTGAAGGTCCAGAGAACAATTACTTTTAAATTAAATCTGTTGATGCCATTTCAGACGAAATGTGTCATTTTCGATAGCATTTTTCCAGCTGTGTTGAGAAGTTACTGTTCACTGTTGGCTACTGCAAGTTAGCAAGTAACAAGTTATAGATGATGAAATCAACGTGGCCCAGTTTCCAGTGGACAAATGTTTCAAGTTCCCTCACCATCCTCATCAGAGTAGTGTCTGCTGCCTTCTCTCTGTGGATTGTTCCTGGACCTAAGATCCTCTGCCTGACAGAGACAGTGGTGCTGTGCTGGCTGTGACCAACACGTGTGGTGACCTGTGAGCCTGTGCAGACAAGAGAGAAGTGAGGACAGCTGAGATTATGCTGCAGCTTGCCTTTCTCCAATCATTATGCTTTGTAATGACTAATACCTTTGGGCTCTTGCCTTTCTGTCAAATGTAGTCAACATTAGGTCTCAGGTTCAAAAGTTATACAACAGAGAGATAGGTCAGAGACTGACTGGCAGAGAGAGACAGGCAACATGACCACATTTATTTCCTTGAGAAATCAGATCTCTAAGTCTTACGAAAAACTGTAGATTGTATGTTGGTGGGTGGGATTTTCAAAAGTTCTTAAGCCCCAGAGCGGTAAATTTATTTATGCACCTCATCTTAACTCGGATAAAAGGAGAATTAGGAACCTAAGTAACATTAAAAGTCTAATCTAAATGACTTTAATAGGATTTGCTGTATCACTGGAGTAGCCTTAATCCCACTTGCTGTATTTAAAATGGTTGACGATAGGAGATTTGGCACTGATTTTGAAGAGTCTATAATTTTGTAAAGCTTACATAAGAGCAATGGCAATGCCTGAAAACCTTGAAAAATATAAAAGTTACAACATTAGGTGCCTTAGTTCACACATTGGTAAAAATGTCAGTGGGAAAACAAAGCCTAGATTGGTGACAAATTGTCAACACTGAAAAAATGTTCCTACAACTTTCACATTGACACAGACAAATAAATAAAATAAATATTGGGTAAGAGATGTCCCATTTTCTATACCAGTTAAAACATGTAGTATGTCAGAGAAGACCACTACGGAAAATTTTGCAAAGGCACAGTCAAGGCAGGCCTTCATTTGGTTTGCATTACTTCTATATGTGAGGTGTGCAGCAAAGAGCCATATGTCTTGGTAGATAAGGCATACTGATGCTGTCAGGACCTGTGAGCAAATTCTAGATGGTAACTATTTGCCAGAAGTATTTCAGACAAAAGTGAGCAGAGTGACTAGAAGTATAGATGTGATACCTGTGTCTGCTGGGCATTGTTAAAGCAAGACTGGCGTGCATCACTACCAAAACTAATTCCCCCTAGTCAAACGGAAAGCACATTTCATCAGTGGGACCAACATCTCACTATCAGTTTTTTTTTTCCTGGGGAAGTTGCTTTTTAAGAAAAGGACAAGTTAGTTTTAAATTGCTATTTCTTTAAACTGAGAACAAAGACCTATTTATATGTTTTTCAAATCACCAGTTTAAGCTAGGGATGTGAATAAATCTGTCCAGAGGACAACCATCCATTTACTGCATTCCAGGATTACAAAATTTGCTTTTATTTTATGTTATAAAAACAAAAACTTATGAGAGATTCTCAGTCAAAATATTTGGATTTGGATTTAAGATGTTAGATGGATATTTAGATACTGCACTTGCAGTGACTAGATCATCAACACTGGACGTTTCAAGAAAAAATTCAACCAAAATTTGGCTGATCTCAGTGCAAGCAGATTGGTAATTCTCTGGGAAAGCTTTGAGTTTAAATGAGGAATATCTTCTGCAAAGAAATGGTTCTGAGTAGTTTTACTGCAAAACCTAAATGAATAGCTTGATTTTCCAAAGTGCTCAAATTGGCACAAAGTACCAGAGGAGGATAAAGGACTTCTCAAAATTATGTCTGTTGAGAAGCTTATCTCTAGGAACTTATAAAGACATTGGGCAGAGTCTAAGCAGTACAAACAGTTTGACCCATTTAAATTCTAAGCACTAGGGCATTATTTGCCCATCTCCCTAAAAGGAAAACCCAAGCTAATAAATAACCACATTGCATTAACGTTTCTTGCTACCTTCAGGGAAATCCTGTTTACTTAGACCCTTGCCTGCCAAGTGAAACAATATTTGAGTTCTTCAATAAGATATAAACTTTAATCCAGGTTGGCAATCACTGGGTATTCACTGATTCAGATGAGTTAATAAATACACTAGGTATTTTTATTCTTCATTTTCTTTACTGATTTCCTCAGTGTATTCAACTAGAAAAGAATGCTGTCTATATTGCCAATACTAATCATATTAACAGTCTCTATTGTGGCACCATTGAAAGAAGTATACAAGAGCCATTTCTATCTTTTGTCAGTGTTTTACTTTCTTTTTGTGCACTCTCTCTTAGACACTGAAACAGTCCTTCACTGTGGTGTCCTTTTGGTTGTCATGGTAGGGAAACTTGGTATAATATCTGTGAAATTAAATAAAAGGCCTGTGTACAGAAGGACTGGTAAGGTACCTCCGTGATGTGGTTAATCCAAATAGATGTCTCTTATTAAAAAAAAAATATGCAAGATGAATATTATGTATGCATTGATGGTATGACTGCTATGGTTGAGGTTACTCTGTTCTCTGAGGTTCTGTGCAGATGCAGAACAAGCTGGTCACTGGCCTCAGGCAGCCTATACCTACATATAAAAGAGACATAAAAAGACAGATTTAGAGGACAAGAAAACAGTGGAACCATTACTAGTCAAAATAATAAGGTTAAATTATTGCATGACTGCATCCTAGGTCTTGAGAAGCCTACAAATGGCATAGACAAGAGCTTCAAGGAGGGATTGAAAGAAGACTCATTTTGTGGAACTTTTCCCAACAGTGAGGGCAGATAGCGGCCTGCACCTAATTCTAACTCACAGCGAAAGAAAAGCTGATGCCATAGGTTAGATGGCAACAGTAAAAAGTGTTTGGTTTGAGGGTAAGCGTCTTAGGTTTGATGTGACAGAGAAATGAGAGTATACAGAAGCATACAGAAGGCCAACAATTTCAGATGTGCACAAAAAGCAATTTTTACAGCAGCCTTATAGGTAGGTGTGACAAGGGCAAGACTGAATTTGACAAGACCAGAAAAAGGTCTCAAGAAATGAGACAACCATAACATGAATGAGAACTTTAGTTTTGTGAGTAGACAAAGAGAATTCTATCCTGGTCACATTATACAGAGTGAGCTATTTAAAAAGGAGGTGTGATCTAGGGACGAAGATACAGAGAAACCTGATAGATGTCCAGGTATAGCCAAAATGACAGCAGAGAGATGACATCTGCCACAGCAGCAAGGAGAAGGCAGGAAAGGGTTAGGCTGTGAAGGTGAGACTGTTGGCTAATCATCCATCAGAGGAAGCCAGGAAGACATATTAGTATTTTAGTTGCCAGTGATAAATGTTTTGGAAATGAGAAGCAGATATGACAATCCTAAAAGAATATGACCAATTGCATAGAATTAAATGGTACTTGATACATATCTGAAGGCAATACAACAACAAAACAGAGCACATACTGTATTCTACCTCAGAATTCTTATTAGTCATCTTGTAACGGGGTAAGATATTTCATATTTGATTTCTAACAGAGTTATTTCCATCTCATTTTAGCCTATTTTTAGACTAAGTGGATAAAAAGTTTTGCTTCCAAACAAAAGTAATATGGTCTTAATGCAGATCTCTAGTATGGTCTGTTACCAACCTCCTTCTATTTGGAGAAACAGTCATTCACTCCAGTCTTTTGTTTGCTTTCTTGTTTGTTTGTTTTCCTTACATACTCAGTGCTTGATTCATAACAAGTACCATGAGTAGTCCTCTTTAACATCTTAATTCTATAAGAGAGCCTGCTGAAAAACTACAGAAACCATACTTCTAGGACATCTTTACCTGCCATTTCTCTAGCTTTTAACAAGTAAAGCAAAGCACTTCTCTTTCTCTTTGCAAAGACTGTGTGGCCTGGATATCAGTCAAGGCATATTTCTGTAGCTTTGTCCTCAGTCTGACTTTTCTGTAAACTTTCAATTTTCTGTCTTCCAGATCACCTCAGAAAATGTTTCTAAAACACTGACACCACTCAGTTATGTGGACTTACACTAAGAATTAATTAGGCATGGTTTAAAACTAATAGACATTTCAGAACATGGCAGGAAAAAAAAATCCTTACTTAACCTAAGCTTTTCTGGTTACCTTGCATCACAAAATTTACAGACTAACTGAAGAAATCAAAAATCATTTGTCCTATCTTAGCATTAAATACTAAAAAAGCCATATAGTCTTATTTTAATCCTGAAACTCAATAAATTGGTTTTAGTTCTTTTTACAAGAAATGATGATTAAATCCCTTGTTTAAGCAAGTGAAAATTTATACAATCTTATGCCAGTGAAAAAGAAATTAACTCTTTCCCATTCCTAGCTGAGGTCCCACCAAAGCAATCTATTTTCAGCTCTTGAAACTGAATTCTCTCTTTTCAAATAACATTAAAGATCATAACAATAAGTGCAATGTTAAAGCATAGAGATCAGAGCATCTTCCTTCTGCATCTGGATTTCAAGACACTCTATCCTGAGCCTGGCACAGGTAGTAGCTCCCCCCCTACTTTGAGGGCTCACAGAGCCAAGGGCTTCTTTCTTGGCTCTCTGCTCAGATGACCATCTACAGTTCTCGCCCTGCCTATGTGGCAGACTCACATGGTCATGAACAAAGATTTTATCACCCTCTTCACATGAAAATGAAACAGAAGCAGTAAAAAAAGAACTAGGTTATTAACCTCCCTCCCACAAACTTAACAAATAAATAAGCTAAATAAAGAATAAAATTAACTACCTGATCTATCCAACTGTGACCTCTGGTTCAGAACAAAGACTTTGATTTTTGGCAATTTAGCATTTTGAAAAATGAAGACACTCAGGTACAAAACTAAAACTGATGTTAAACTTGAGCAGCAACAACAAACTGAAGAAAGAAAGTAGTATAAATATAAAACTTTTGTATCCATTTCAGACATACAATAACAAATAAAAAGAGAAGAAGGAAGCCTTTGAACAATCAAGTTCATACTAATTGAGGGCTGCACTAATATTTTCTAATTTGCATATTTCAGATTATGGATATCAGCATTATTCCAAGATGCACGGCAGATAATTAAGCCTATTTTTTCATGTCCTATAAATAATTTTTGCACAAAATGCTGAGTTTCTGACTAATTTCTTCTTTATAGCTTTCCAGTGATCCAGATCCTTTATTTTCTTTAAGATCAATACCCTTAGGCTGTATCTTCATAGACAAAAAATACCTGGCATGATATAGACATACTACAGGTGAAAGATTAGCTTCTCATATACATCATCCTAGTTTATATACCTTACTCTGCTTCCCAACCTTGTGGTGAAAAGAGCCTTTGTGCTCTGGCCATGAGCAAAACAGACTTTTCACTACACCTGAATGACAGACTAAATGTGACTGCAGTGCACTTACCAGCTACTAGGTCTATATTATCCGGGTTCACATGTGAACGCTTTAGCGGCTCTTATTGTAAACTCCCTAGATTTTCCTCCATTGGCAATTCACACATGCTTTTCCTTCATACCCTACCTCAACAGTAATTTTAAACATTTCTTCTGTGAATAACAGAAACCTGGCTTACTCTAAATTTGGCTTGTGTCTCTTAAACTGTTTCAACTGTGGTTACTTTGATTTTCCCAATCTTCAGTAGCTGCTAGTTCAGCACTTCCAATTCCTGCCCAGCTCTCAGTATTACCTTGACTTTCCCACTGGGCTCCACCACTTCAGTTCTTCAGCTCCCTCACCCCAAAACTGAAGCCCTCCTAGACCTGCCCCAATAATCAGAGCCCTCTCATGGGTCTCACCTTTGCCAGCCTGCTTCTCAGGCAAGACTTGAATAGGTGGTGCATGTGTAAGTACTGCATGGGTCCAGCCCAGGCAGCTGCCCTCAGCCACCTGCCTCAGCATCTGAGCACAGGCGAGTAAAAAGGATAGAAACAAGTTCATCATGTTCCTTCCCTCTCCTTCTCCATCTATCCCCCACTTGCCATGAGTTGAAGGAGTTTGTTCTCCTGGAATCTGCAAAGAAAATTGCAAACAGAGAAATGCCTTCTGAAGGGTACTTCCCTTGAAAACATGAGTGAAGCCTGGTTTCACCCGCAAGGCAGAAGCAGAGGCACCTGGAGGTGACGTGAGGACTAAGAGTGTCACAGCTTCTCAGAGCAGCTGGGGGGCTTAAGAGCTCCCATCAGGGCACTGGGCAGCAGTTTGACAGGACTAACACCCTCTTTCATAGAGAAGCAATGTCAGGAACAAATAATTATGCCAGAAGCTTTCAGTGTCAGATTGAAAGGCAGAGGAATTATTGGGCAACTGACTGGTGTGCAGCTGACCAAGAAGTCTGTGGCAGCTGACTTTTTTAAAGCTCCAAATAAGTTGGTTTACATTAGGATGAGTGATTACACAGCAAATGGCTTTAGAATAACTCAGGAAAACAAGCCTTGGTCTCCACAAAAAATTTGGCACCGTGTCCGTAATTCATACCTGCATAACTGGCCATAGGGGCCTTCCTGCCCCTTTCCATGGCCATATGCAGTAACATCACAACAGTCTTCCTTTATTACTTACTGGAAGTTAAACCTTTTTTGGGACTGATGAACTACTCAGGCAGTTCCAAGCTTTGTCTTTATCCAAATCACTTTGAGCCTGGAAATAAATTTTTTTTTCAAATGCCAAAGATACTAATGGAAAATTATCTATTCTGAGAGTACCAGAGGTGAAGAATAACCTAAATTTATAATGGAGAGCAGTGCATCTCCATAATGGTGAACATCTTGTTTTACTTCTGAAACAGAAAACTCAATTCTGGAAAAGGAGGAACCCAAGCACTTGGATAGCAATCTCATTCGTGTTGCCCAGAATATTCCTGTTAGAGTGTTGACTAATGAAATATAGGTTAATATTTCTCAGTCACAATGATCTCCAGTTACACCTGGATTTCTGAGATGAGCTTGGCAGCCATAACCAAGTCACACCGGGGTAGCTTATTTCAAGCACCACCTAGTGGATCTATTTGAAAGTTACCAAAAATAAAGCAATTAGCAAAATATTTTTCCTTTTGAAGGTAGGAATGGCAGCTGTCAGTCTCCCTGCAGTAAATCTTGCTATTTGATTGCTTTTTAGTAGCAAGTCACAACAGCTCTGAAAAACACTAAATTAAAAATGGTGAAAAAATACTCCTGAGGATGCACAAAATTTGTCTTGAATTGAGCTTCAGCATAGGACATTCTTTTCTCAACTCGTTAGACCCAAAGCATTAGGAGACATATGTCTTTAATGATCAGAATTCCCTAAGTAAAGAAAAATTAACTTCTGCCTTTAAATGAAAACAAGACTGAGACGTCATTTAACTAACCAAAGAAGACATTTCTAATTCTGTTCACTAGTAAGTAAAATGTAGCTATATATGTATGTAAGCATATAATTTAAAAAATGTAGTATATTAATCTAAGAGACACTTGATAGGTCTCCTATCTCAGCAATTTCCCAAAATAAAAATAATGTAACATGAATCAATACAGTAAATTTATTAATACCTCTATTATTTTTTGTTGATTTAAGTATGAGAGATGGTTACTTATTTTAAATTCTGTAATGGATCTGAGTATTGCATCATAATGTGTATAATACATACATTAAATATTACCTATGAAGAGTATTTTTCAGCAAGACTTCAGACTTACTGAGATTTGGTTGAAAACAATAAAATATTGAGATCTTTTAAATGATGGGTGGTCAGCCTAAAGTAAACTGAGTCTGCACTGACTGAGGATTGGCACCAAACCTTGAGCACCTGAGAACTCGTGCCTTGTCTAATTAGGGAGTTAGTCAGTGCAGACCACACAATTAAGATTAGGGAATAAAGATGGCCATGACTAGGCAACTAAAACGTAAAATAAAAAAAATACTGTGAAGTGTCAGCAGTAAGAGAAAGCACTGTCATGCCAGAATCAACAGTACCATTTACGAGATGCAGTTACTGATCAAAATAGTAAGAAAGATCAAAACAGTGATAGGCAAACAGAAATTAGTAAAATAACTGAAAGCAGAAAGCACTGCTCAGAAAAAAATAATCCTGAGCTCTCTTCCCTGGAGACACTTTTGAGTGGACTAGAATTAATGGTGTTGATCCAGCAGCTGATCAGAAGTTTGATTACATGGGTTAATGAAAAGCCTTAAAAAAATGGACAGCTTCTATGTCTGCAGTGAAATACAGGATGTAGAAAGGACTGTATATCTCTCTTTGATGAGGCTGTTAAAATAAAAATGGATTCACAACAGCCAAGGGGTTATGGGTTCCATCATTTAATTAGTAATGTCAGCTGTATTTTATATTTATTTATTCAATTAATCTATATTCAGAAAAAGAAAGGTCTTAGTCCTACCTTTTGTATATTGAAAGTATTTTTAGCCATTTTACACCAAACTCACAGTCTAGATTTAACTTGCTATTTTTCAGGAAGGTACAACTGAATAGAAAATATCAAATATTCATAGGTTTCTTTCTCCCACATACTATGGTCAAGAGAATAGTCAAATAGAAAAATTAACTACATTCTATCATCCTTTGGTGATTAATTCCTTTTATTATCACACTGATAAAAGGGTGGGTGGCTGGATTTTGTGCTAGCGAAGGTAAACTGTAATGATGGTTTAGCAATGCAGAACTAACACCTGCTGCCTTCTGCAGCTTCTATGTTTCTGAGGGTCAAATTCAGCCTAGTGCCAATGGGAAAAATTCCACTGACACTGTACACCAATACTAGGGTTGAATTTATCCTCTTGCATTGCTCAGGGAGAATGGATGCACATTTTATTCCTGTTTTTTTGGTCAATGAGAGACCATGGCACTCAAAGTACACAGAGAAAACCAACAACCTTTCTGACCAGTCAAAATGGTGCTTACAAGGACTCTGAAACCCTGGCTTATATGTGGATCAAGATTTCCTAACAAGATTTCAGCACTCAGACAGTAAACAGTTTTAAGGAGATACATGCAGTATGCCATCCAAGAACAAATTAACCATAGTTCATTGTAAATAAGCTTAATTCTAAAATGATAATTCTGAACATTAAAATAGATCTTAAATAAACAAATATGACAACATAATCTACATAATTATGCATGATGTGATAATATAAGTGATAATATAAAGTGATAGGTATAAAATAAGCATATAATTTAGCAGAGCAACATGACACAGACAGAAAGAAAGGATAATTATTGTAGATATTTCTAAGGCAAATGTCTTTTAGGAACACAGCTCTTCACTTACTGCCTTATTACACCCTTACTTGGTGTGGGTGCAATATAAGAGTGCAATATTTTTGAGAAAAAAAGAAGTGTGGAGAAATAACCCAACATATAAAAGCATGGCCTGAAAAATGCTGCTTCTAATAGGAAGAACACCACACTGATTTGAATTTCAGTAAATTCTATGGAGCACAACAGAGATTATACAGGTGTTGTGACCTTAAACATTCAAATAATGAATTTTGACAACATTCTCTCCTTGTATAAATGGTTTAAGAACATTAACAGAAGACTCATCTTGCATACTCATACCTCTGTAGACAGCAAGATCTAGACAGAGGTACAGGGTTTGGGAGAGGGATTACTTTAATTCTCTCTGGATCTGTCAGAGCAAGTGAGCTTGGAGATAGTGCTGGAGATAACCTTCCAGTTCCTCTCCTTCTGGTTAGGAGCTAACATCTACATTACGCTATATGACTTTTGAATCTAATCACTAATGAACTACTTAGCAAAAAGCATCTAGGAAAAAATGTAAGCATCAGTGATAGAAAGATTTTAGAAAGTTTTGTTAGCTTATAAAATTGATGAAAAATTTCAAGTTCAGAAATCAGATTAACGGAATGGGATATTGTATGGATGCTGGGAGCAGAGCCAAACCCCTCATTCTACGGAAAAGTTGCAGGACTTCTTTAGCAGGAATGAAAACCACAGAATACTTGCAATAGGACATGACTTTCTGCCATTTCTGACTAAAAAAGTAGTAAAAGCTTTTAGATGAAAAAAGAGAAACAGGGTACTCCTGTGACACGAGGAGCCAGGCAGTAAAAATGATTCATTGATCTAATGAAATAGATAAAAAGTGCAGGAGTCAAAATGCCGCAGTTACATGCAGAATGTGACTTCAGAAAGGTTTACAGGTATTTTCCACCACAGTGAACAGAAAATTATTAAAACAGTGGTAGAATCATGTATCCGTTCCATAATCTATTTAATCCGTTTTTCCAAAATAAGTGCCTAAGCAAATTTGTGCAATAGGTGACCATCTCAGCAAATGCACACCAGGTCTTTTTGATACGGTAAACTTTATTTTAATTAAAAAGATTTATTCTTACATCTAATGTCTGAGGTAGGAATCACATGGTTTGTCTTTGAAATAATTACAGAATGCCAGGTCATGACAATTTCTCTTAAACATCAGGAAAATTATAAAGTTTAAATTAGAGATTAGTGTTCAGTGCATATTCTCAGGCAGGACGGTTACCATGTCAGGCTCCTAAAATGCTTACTGTGTATATCTACCTACAGCTCATCCAAGCCAGATCTTGAGATAGGAATGAAACATATAAGCAGCTGTCCTGGAATAAAAATGTCACAGGCTAAATGGAACTAAAGAAGCTTTTCCTACTACAAGTCACCTAAAAATACTTGGACAAACTGTACGGTACCTGAGCAGCGTCTGTACAACAGCTCCATGCTTTTTCTGGTCTGGCATATGAAATAATTTGAAACAGGTGGGAAAAGGCCACAGGCTGTTTGCTAATGGACTGGGAAAAGTACAATCTGAATAGCACTACGATGCAGACCAGAAGTAACCTAGCTATATAAACTACGTCCACTGGGAATCTTCTGTAGCACGGTGTTACTGTGCCTTCCAGACTGCAGTCAGGACGATGACAGGGCCAAGCCCCAAACGTGTAGTTATGATGATGAGCCACGTTGTACACCAAAAGGGAGATTTCTCTATGGGATTGGGAGCAAAGACAGCAAGAGACACTAGTTTTAAACAAAATATGAATGAAATTTAAATTAAAAAAATAGACTGAAGGACAGGAGGGTTTCACACAGAGATGGAAGAAATAAAGAGTATATACATATAATTTTTAAGACTGTCTTTCACAAGAACTAATCAGAGTTATTAATCATCAGTTATCAGTTATTAATCATTGTTGTGGACCCAGCCTACTGTAATATGGCTACATGCTCCCTTAAGCCAAATAGACAGCACATACTGGTATCAAATATACTAATACCGTACATTAGGATCTCTTTGGAGAAGAGCTT